GATTTGTTTGATGTGGTAGTGTTGCTGTCGGGAGGTGGTGTGGTTGTTTTAGCGATGACAATGGTGGTGGTGCTACTGGAAGTAGTGGTGAGATGATGCTTGCAAATGTTGGTGGTGATCACAAATTATTTGGTTGACTATGACCATTAAATTGATTAATCTGTGACCAATGAAAAAGATAAATTGTGACCAAGAAATAATGTGGCCTAAAAAATTATTAATTTGTGATCGATAATTTGATAGTAGTAAGTTGTAACTTATAATATTTATGATTTGTAACCAATAAATAAATTGTGACTTATAAATTTTTTATTTGTGATCGATGAACAAATTGTGACCTATAAAATTTTTGAATTGTGACTGAAAAATAAAATGTGAGTAACTAAATCGTTAATTTGTGACCAAATTATATAGATTCGTGACCCCCAATATATTTAATTAATAAAATATATAATTAATTAGTTAAATCATAAATAATTTTTTAATAAATATCCGATTTTTGAAATTTGAAATCTTTGTTCTTATTATTGAAATGGGTGATACTTAACATTTTAATTATGATTTTTTCCCTTATATTTGTTAGCATTTCTGCTAAACGTACCCGGTCCTTTACTTGCTGGCTTACACTCTTATGTGGCAGAATTAAAAAATAAGGAAATGAGTCTTGAGAGTTTGAACCGGCCCAAAACCAAATAAACCCTTATCACCACGTTCTTCCCATTCATTCATTTGCCCCAAACATAGAAAAAATCCTCAGATGCAAAACAGCCCTTGGAGGACAACTGAAGGCACACTCCTTTATCCCAAGCGTATTAAGGAGCCCGTGCTTCAGTGAAGCCGACTGTGCTCACAAAATTTTTGTTCGTAACTTCAAGAGAGAAGCCGACCGTGTACAGCAAGTTCGGGAGTTGTTGATGCCATCACCTCCAGGGAAATCTTGACCAAGTATTAAGTAAGTATGATTTTCGTTCGTCGCGACTACTGTTGTCCGACTAAATTCATTTCAGTGAAGGCAAAGAGAAAATATTCTTGCATTTTGTTCTACCGATTTTTGTTAATTAAGTACGATGAATCCCTATTTTCATTTATCTTGGATTCATGTTTAAAACGGAAAGGTTGAATTTTATTTTTTTGGAATTCTTTGTTTCTTCCATATTTATATACTTCAACATTTAGTTTGATGATTTGCTTGGTTTGATGAGTTACTTCTGGTAATGTATGAGTGTTCAATATCACTTCTTTGTGAGTTTTTTTTATCAGAACTTCGATTCAAATAATGGGTAAGGGAATTTTGATAAGGACGGATATATCCTGTTGATTTCATTGACAAGAGAATCAATTTTGAATTAGTAGAAAAGGTGTGTGGTTGTTGTCTAATATTGTGCAACCTGTGAATTTTGAATTAATCGATTATGGAGTAAGGGTGTTGCAAATTTATGTATTTTACATTAGTGTGTGGTTGTTGTCTAATGTTGTGCAACTTGTTTTTTGTTTGTATGTAGTATGGCAGGAAAGAACATCGGACATTGTCATAGCTGTAGAGAGAAGGGACACTTCTTTGCGGATTGCCCGAAGAAACGACGATGCCCCCGGTGTAAAATTGAATATGTGAAGTGCTTTGAGATTGAGAGAGAAACGAAGAATAAGGGAAAACTATTCAACTCCTGTAGTGCTAATTGTAAATTTTGGGAATAGATTGATGAGGGAGAATCGAGCTGTGGATCGAGTACTATTCTCATCAACTCAAATAATCATGCAGCACTTGAAGAAGTCGACTAGTTTTCTCGCATATTCCAGTCCCTTTGTCGAGTAATCGAAGAACAAAACATTGAGGTTTCTTTGAACGTGACAATACGGAAGGCAAATGGAAGTGCAGGGATGGACAAGAAAGGAAAGGGGCCAGCATGATTGTTGGTTACATTTCGTTAGGACGCAGCGCTACCTCCTTTGATGTACAATATTTGTTGTGTTATGTGGAGTGGGCGTGTAATGTGTTGTGTTGTGCGAATAAATCATTGTGATGTAGTCGCTTTTCATGTTTTTGTCGCTATGTAAACGATGTTAGTGTTAATTTTACTGGACTGCAATTTTTGTTCTTCATTGGTGCACTGGGATTGAATCTAAAATAGTAAATTTTGTTCTTTAATTGTGTAAGAGAGGCGCTATGTTCAATTGTGTTCTTTAATGACATGACCATTGTGTTCAATTGTGTAAGAGTAGAACTTGTAAGGACCCTGTTTTATCATTAGGCTAAGCTACGTTTACATCTGGATTTATGAAGAACATTGCTAGATAAATTACCAAAATAGCAAATGAAGTGGAGTTATTATTGTTCAAATGCACTGATAAAATCTGGACACCTTATTGGCACATAACTGATGCCAAAGAGCTGCCCTATCAAAATTTACAATTTGAACTACATGACATGCAGAGTCTTTACAATTTCTTTTACATGTGGGTCTCTAGAAAGTGTCAATGCCTCGGCAAGACCAACAACCGAGGTTATATCATCTCCTTCGGCTCTCAGTTGCTCACTGGTTTCACCCTCTACAAGTAGAATAGGTTGCTAAAAAATTTTAGCGACATACTGCGATAGGCATCCCTCCAACACCATGGTGACAAACTGAGGACCAAAGGCCCTGCATGCAATAGCTCTCTCAAAAGTTTGGGCTGCTTCAAGAGCAAGGCAATGAATAGATAACATCTCAATTAGAAGATAATATCAGAAAAATGACTTCAAGACACAAAGATATGCATGCATACTGCTTTAGGAATATGTTGACAATGCAGTGCAACTTTGAATGTAACGTCCACTGTTGCTGCAAGAGGTTCATTATTTGAATCAACTAACAGATATAATGACTGGAAAAGGCGCGAGCCCCCCAAAACCTGAGGAATAAAAACTTTTCAGAGCTCAGTTATAAGCTGTAAAAACAATTTAAACCAACATGTGTATTACCTAGATGCCACCCACTAACAGTTATCTGAACACATATTTTGGTGCAATTATAGCAACAAGGATGCATTTTAGTAGTTCAGATTATCTTACAGGCAATTATAGCAACAAGGATGTAAGAAACATCATGAAGTGCAAATGAGTCTCTTGGAAAAGAAAGAACAAAGTAAAGGAAAAATGTAAGGCAGAGAATGCTGAGGCAATTTGGAAAAAAGCACTTTCATCAACACTATACCATCCCACATCAATAATGCCGAAACTCAAAAGCTCCAAACCTGTCCAACTCGCCATCACAAGTTTTCTCTACGTTGGTGGGGTACGTTTAGATAGTGGTAAGACATTGCATGTTCGGCTGTCAATTGAAAAAAGTTATTACGAAATCAAGTACAACTACAAATAAAGTACATATGTTCGACCACATAATTACCTTGACCATACAACATAACACTTGTTGAAGCCACAGGCATGAAATTGGGGGACCCTACTTATTGTGTAATTACATGATTTTTTCACCACCACCCTACACCATTTCATAATGTAACTGAAACAAACAAATTGTATTCACGCATAAATGTATGGAAACAAACCAGTAGAAGTTGTGAATATGTCAGCGGTGCCTGCATGTAGTACGATCCTTCATGAGGTATTTGCACAAGCGGTTCAACTTGTCCTAGGTTGCTTGGGCCTGCCATTGGTCTCCTTCCCTTCGCTACATTTGGACGGGACTGTGGAACACACAAATAACAAAATTAATTAACACTCTAAACACTTTCTGACCAAACAAAAGTAATTGGAAAAATACCTTTGTTGTACCGAACTTCAATTCCAAAGGGCTTTCCTTTCGAAGTTTCCTGGGTGCACCTTTTCTCTTAGAGCATTTTGGATCTTGTATACTTCCGAGGCTAGTATTATGCTGTGATGCTCCCTCAATTGATCCTGTTTGACCAGCCGGTGGAGAAACATTATTACTTCTAGAATATGACATCGTCGTTCGCACTGTTTGTTTTTTGTGATCTATCCACTCCATCATATCACGGCTCTCCTCGTCGTCATTTGCAATCATGTTCGAAAGCGACGCAAATGATTGACACAATTTGTCGTATCTCAACTAGGCAGGACTGCTACTCAAACCGTCATAGTTCACCGCGACCCTAGTATGAGCTCTATTTACATCTCTTCTCCATCTTCGTAATATGTAGGTGTCAGGTAAGGAAGTGACATTATTACGGAGAAGTACAACGATCACATGCCTATATATTATTCCATGAAACTCGAAAAGGTGACAACTACATACAATTTCACATTTTTGTACCTGAAATGTGACGAAAGACTTGCTTTTCTTTGTATGATTGTCAAGTACAACATCCTCTAGGACCTCATACGTCATCCCTAAATAACCCTCCAACGAAGATATGAGATCGTAATACATCTTCCCAATAAAATCATTTTGAAGTTCCTTGAATTTCAAAATGGTGTACACTTGTTGAAACTGCTTCTCGAGCTCATACTTAGTTCCATATGGCACCATTTGTGAGAAAGACTTAAAATCTGCTTGGAACTCTTTCTCTACCTTATTTCGCAAAGCTCCCTCGTATTGTTCAATAAATTGTTTCAACGGTGTCTTCAAGTGCACATACCCATCGAATAACGCGTTCATACTCTCACTGCGCTGCGTTGTTGACATTTTCGCCCAAAAGCTGGTCTTTAAATAACAAGGTACCCAACGGGCTCTATTCGTGTACATCCCAGACAACCAGTCATCGATGTGCAAGTTATATGTATCTATCATCGCACTCCATCCTTCTTCAAATTCTTCAACATTGTTAGTATCATACACCAGTACGTGTATGGTAGAGAAGATCTTACCCTTTTCATCATGGTATCCAAACTTCTCTGACAACTTTTTCAATACATGCCACAAACACCATCTATGTTTCGTGTTTGGGAACATGATCTCTATTGCATTCTGCATGGCCATGTCCTGATCGGTAATAATACCGAGGGGTGTGTGCCCGTGCATGCACTGAAGCCAAGACTTGAAAAACTACACAAATGTTTCTGTATTTTCATTCAACACCAAACCACAACTGAGAAGTGTTGATTGTCCATGATGATTAACTCCAACAAAAGGTACAAAGGGCATGTCATATATATTAGTTAAATATGTAGTATCAAATGTTATCACATCCCCAAACTCTTTATACGCTTGCCTACTCCTATTATCTGCCCAAAAACTATTCTTCAACCGCGACTCCTCATCTAAATCCATACTAAAGAAAAAACCTTAACACCTTGCTTGCATGTTCGAAAAGTAGGACCTGTATTGCTGCGGCATCACCTTCTCCAAGTCTTAACCGCTTCACTTGTTTTACATAATTTTGACAATCCTTTTCGATGCAAGTCATATTCTCGTATTCCCCTACTTCTACTACTGCTAAGTTGTAGCTTTTATGCAACGAAATCTCTGCCATATCGTTCACTTCAAGCCGTCGTTTCACCTGAGCACTCAATTCTCGGTTGCAACGATACAACCTAGACTTTGAAGGGCTGATTTTATGATTGTGAATGAGATTAACAGTATTAATTTTTCGTACTCCACATGCATCTGCAAAAGCAGTTAGTCTGGCTTTACAACCTGTTTGAATGGTAGCTTCCGGCTTCAAAGAACCACTTGTGTTACTATTTCTTCGGCCTTCACGGCTATATGTAAAGACAACATATCTCACAATTCTGTCATTATCCTTTTGTGAATTTCTTTTCCTAACCGAAAAGCCTACGTTGTATGCATATCTTTTGTAAAAATCAAACAACTCTTTTTCACCATTGAACTTGATACCCACCTCGGTTACGATCACACCATCTACTCCTACAATTCCATCATCCACGAAATCCACAATTTCGAAAATCTTGTCGTTATCTGTTTCTAATAGGTTATCAACATCCACCTCTTCCGAAATTTCTTTCCTTATGATAACAAATCAAGGGTAAATTTTAATAATAATAATATTCATGAAAATAATAAAATGAGGGAACAAAAACTGTCTGCATATAATGCTCAATCCCGCTACATATATGCACCTCACTATACCGTACTTTTCAGTCATGTCCATAAAGAATTCCATTTCCAAGCTCCTAATCAAAACATGATATACTATAAGTTGATTAAGAGAGTCAAAAGAAGAACATTTTAAAAGTGAGACTGAGGTACTCAACATTTTAAAAGTTAGATTTTTCCACAATTCAATCCATTCAATGTTGATCACAGTACATTCATCAAGAAAGAATTGAGTTTATAAAATATATGAATCTTGTATATCGTACGTTTAAAACATTATTGCGCAGTAGAATTTGAATTGTGTTGAGTTTATTTTTTATGTAACAGGGATGGATTCTATAGCATCTGGGAATTCATTCAATCACCATGAAGGCATATGTTTATTAAAATATAAAAATAAAAATTCTAAAGGATTTACAGTTCAAACAACAATCTTTATGCTTGCCTTGATTTCTTCCATCATATTTAGATTTGTAACTAACAAGTTTCAATCCCTACATGCAAAAAAAATAGGCGACTATTGAATGGATCTATATGATCATAAAGGAAAAAATGCTGGTCATTGCATTTTCAGGCATATTTTCCTATCAATAGAGAAATTTGTACTAACATCAAGAATAAGTAGCAAGTTTCCGTGTTACAAAATTTCTAGATTAATTATGAACCTCACTATGGAAGCAAAGAAAATCACCTTCCAAATTTATATTCTTCATACTTATACACTCTCAGTGCTCACACCGGTTAAAAATAGTGAACCATTTAATTTTGAAGCTAGCACACTCAAAAACTGAAACAACCGAATCAAGTAGCCTTTATTTTAGTCAGGATAAACTCGAATACTATTTATCTTTGATGTTACCATTCACATATTTCCCCAATAATCACATTTCAGGTGGGAAATACCAAGCGAGGAAAATGAATGCACGGTTGGATAAATTTCAGATGAGGAAGGGAATCACCTTTATCCGACATCTCTTCGAGTGTTCTGGCTTCTTCTTTGCTCTGAAAATGAGCGCATAAATTTTTGGTTATTATGTATGTCTGATTTTTGTTCTACCCGAAAGTTCTGTCTGTTTCCAGAATGAAGATGCCGCTCGATCGTGTACAGTAGAACAATCACAGCTGAGAGACCCTTTTTCCCGGGTCTTGAGAGATTTCTTTTCCTGCTATATTGTGGGCAAATAGGAATGGAAGGGTTATTTTCTCTTCAATTTGTATGACCCGGTTGTATTTTATACCTGACCCAAAAGTGTGGTCATATGATGGTCCAATAATTTTGAATTCAACTTCCTTTCCAGTTCAGCGCGTACACCTCCGTGTAAATGGTCATGTACAAGAAGCTTTTTTGATTTGTTAGAACGCTAACATCCGATTCCAAATTGAATTTTGCTATTTGTACCTTTGGCTTTACACTTTGACGTGGAACGCAAGTGTAAAAATTCAAAAAAAAAAAAAAAAAATTAGAAAACAAACCAAAATGTAACTAGATCTCAAAAGGGGTGACCTAATTCGAATCCGAGAAAACAGAACAAATAATACTCGGTAATCCAAATTTTGAAATCAATTTGTCATCTTCGTTGCCCTCAAGTTTCTCTTAGTTCCGATGTTGAAACCGCTGTACTGCCCATCCTAAATTCTATCACCAATTCCGGTGGGCAATATCCAAACGCGATATATTTGATGCCACAAAGCTGAAACTTATTGGATGAAGAAGCGACACGGATTCACTCCAAAAGCAAACAATAAGCCGGAATATTCACTTGTTCGATAAAGATGGCTGACAAAGGTATTTTCCATCATCATTTTGATGTGAAATTGGTGAATATTATTTCAGCTGTGAACATGCTAAAAATCTATGAACCCGTTGTGAATATGCTAAAAATCTGTAAACCCATTCGTAATCCACGTTTGATGGAAAAAAAATTCACGGCCACCATTTTGTTTATTAAATTAGCTTCGAGGTTGATATACAATGATAAAAGGATTGGTGGGCTTTGTTGGAGATGTAAAATACTGGCCTTGTGTTAGATTGAATGAGTATCTTTTATCAATTCAACATTGGTTTTAACTTTAGTTTTGATTTGTTTTTGCAGGGAAAGGAATTTCGAAAGAGGTGGACGATAATATTTTGTTAGAATTTGATAACAAGAACATTTTGGACAGCATGAACTTAGTGGATCATGGAATTGTTCGGACAAATGGTGTAATTGTGCTTGAGATGAGAATGAAGTTCAGCAATAAAAGGAAATGTATGATTTTTATAAAGATATGCGTACGAAGTATGATTCCTAGTTAGGAAAAGAAATTTGCAAAAGAGTTGTGAGATATGTTGTGCTCACGTGTAGTTGTGAAGGTCGAAAAAATAGTAATATAAGCGATTCTTTGAAACTGCAACCTACCATTTAGATAGGTTGTTGTTCGTCTCCCTTTAGACATCAAAGCACTTCAAAGAGCCATTTTTTACACTAGGAACATCGTCGTTTGTTCTGGCAATCTGCAAAAAAGTGCCCATTCTCTCTACAGTTAGGACAGAATTCAAAGTTCTTTATGGCATTCTAACAAGCAAACAAACCACAGATTACACTACATTACACAACAACCGCACAACACTATAAATTCGAAAAAATCGCAAAACTTAAGACTCCATTAGTTTTCTTTTCACCACAAATACAATACAAGGTTCTTTAGACCAAATATATCATATTTACATAACATTTGATGGAGAATCCATTGAAGCAATGGCATTGAATTTGGACAAGCTTGTTGCACGTGATGAAGGTTTTCTATTACAGCTTCAATGAATTAACAACTGCTCGATTGAGTGAAGGTGGAATCCCAAACATGAAGACGATTGATAAATTAAGCACCGATGGATTCCTCTCGTAGAGATGGATGAATCCAGATTCAACGATAGCCGAAGCTTTCTTCTATCGCCTCTGAAGGAATTTACAATTTGGGGGTAAAATGAAAATGATACGGGTTCCTTTCCTTTCATTTGGCCTAGTTCAAACTTTTTCACCTCCTTTCTTTTAAAATTTTTTTAATATGGCCATGTCACGTTGTCAACAAATGGGTAACCCAAAATGTAACACATAGTGCAATTGTTATTCTAATGACAGTGTCTAAATCTCCACTTGAACTTTTTCCCTCTACAAACTTCCTACAGACAATCCAAGTGTACGTATACTCCTCTGTCAAGATATATTTACATTACTTGGTTTAAACATATTGGCATAAATATAGATTGCGAAAAAAATATTCAATCATTTTTTGTTAAAATTTACTAAAATTCTTCTCTTTTTTTTTCCTTTTTTTTTTTTTTTTTTTTTTTTTTTTTTTTTTTTTTTTTGGGTTATACCAAGAGCTAATTACCAAAAAGGTACTAAAGTCGTTTTTAAGAATAACAATGGACTTTGCTTTCCCAATAGCAATCCGGGCTTGGCCCGATAAGAAAAAAAGCCCCATTCCATAAACCCTAGACCAAAATCATCTCCCATATAAAAACCTACTCTTGAAATCATTTCAGTTTTCAACCTCATCTCGTCTCGTACAGATCGATCGAGAGGAGAAAAATGGTGTCGCTGAAACTACAGAAGCGGCTCGCCGCTAGCGTCCTTAAGTGCGGCAAGGGCAAAGTGTGGCTTGACCCCAATGAAGTCGACGAACTTTCCAGAGCCAATTCCCGTACGTATATGTAGAGAATGGAAGTGATTTATTGTCGTTCGATTTTGTGTTTATATGGTTTGTTGAGTTGACTTTATTTGCATTCTTTCAGAAAGATTTGATTTTATCTTTTTGAGGATTTGGAGAAGTAATTTGGTCTATACGTTGTTTTGTTATCTGTCTTGAGCTTCTCATCAATTTCATTTCTAGAAAGTTTTGTTGAGTTGATTTTATTTATATTGAGATGCTAACCTTTTCGATTCCTTGGCTATGTTGTTTTCTGGTGCTATTTTTATAATTCGTTAATATTTAATTATTCTTGTTGAGGCTTTAGATAAGTAAATCTGGGAAAATGAGCTGGTCCATGTGTTGTTTTTGCTTCTGTCTATGAGCTACACAGGAGTTTCTCTGCCCGGCAATTGTTCAAACATTTCAGTCTCGCACTATATCAAGCTGTAGATTGGCTCTTTTTTAATTAAATCTGTATATTCAACCTTGACTATCTCTGTAGCTTTCGTTTTGTTAAAACATACTATTAACCAGATAGAGGATATTGGAGAAACTAGAAATATGGGAAACGGGGTATTGATTGCTGGTGTTTCTGTCCGGCTTTTTAATGGTCCTAAACCCCCTTAGTGTCACAAGAGAGTTTTTTTTAGACAAGACAACCAATTGTTGAAACTCCAACCTGTATGAGAATGCTGGACACACAACTACTTTCCATATACTTGACTATATTTTCTTTCTCCCGACTATTACAATTTTTCTAAGGTGATTTAGAATCTATATTCGGCATGAACAAATACCGGCTTTTTCCTATTGCTGCGATTTGCAACAGTATTAAGTATTTGTTACTGAATCTTTTGGAATAAAATTCAGGTCAAAATATCAGGAAGCTGGTCAAGGATGGTTTCATCATTAGGAAGCCAACCAAGATTCACTCCCGATCTCGTGCTCGCCGAATGAAGGAGGCAAAGAGAAAGGGCCGTCACTCTGGATATGGTACTTTCTTCTAATTGTGGAATGAATAAATCGTGTGCAGTCAGCTAATTGTTGATTGCATTAAAGTTGGTGAAATATTAATGTTTTTGCTAACCGAATGAACTTTCCCATTATATTATTATATTATGAATTTTGTTGATAAGTTCACTTCTTACCAATTGAAAACAGAGGGATTCTTCTTACTGATATTTTTAATGGATATATGATGCTTTGTTTTATATGTGAAAATTAAATTAAGAATCTGTACCTTCTTTTTGCCAGAGACTAGGTAAATGCAAATGCCAGATGCGATATTGTCTCATTATGAGACTTAACTTTGTTGGGACTTAGTCATACTGATATTCGAAAATTAACTTAGTGCATCAAAGTTGTGATTAAGTGACCCCTTTCATGGTGTATTCTTTGCCTTTTATCTTATTTATTTGTTGAAAAGAGAAGTTGGATGCCTGATATCTAAGATGTTTTCTGAATTATTTTAGGTAAGCGCAAGGGTACTAGGGAGGCAAGGCTGCCAACTAAAGTTCTTTGGATGAGGAGAATGAGAGTGCTGAGGCGCTTGCTTCGCAAGTACAGGGAGTCAAAGAAGATCGACAAGCACATGTATCATGACATGTACATGAAGGTAAAGGGTAATGTTTTCAAAAATAAGCGTGTTTTGATGGAGAGCATCCACAAGTCTAAGGCTGAGAAGGCCAGAGAAAAGACCTTGTCTGACCAATTCGAGGCTAAGAGAGCAAAGAACAAGGCTAGCAGGGAAAGAAAGTTTGCTAGGAGGGAGGAGCGCCTTGCTCAGGTGATTAAGTGCATTCACTTCGTAGGTTTTTGTCCAACTGTATCCATGCTGACAATTATATGCAGAAATTTTTAGCGTTGATATACTAACTAAGGAATTCAAAATATACAATTTTTCATGAAATCTAAAAAATGACAAACTTCTTGGCCTTGTGCCTAGCTTTTATTTATGAGTTGTCACTATCTTGATGAAGATTTTAGGCTTTATAAATAATTGGATTTTTTTCTCTGTTTTCTATTTCAGGGACCGGGAGAGAAAGTAGCACCACCAGCAGCTGCAGCCCCTGCTCCTCCATCCCAGGCTGCTCAGTAAGTGACCTAAAATCATTTGTTTCAACTTTTTTCATTAGTTCTTGAAAATATATTTTTAACTCGTACTCTGGCTACACAGGGGAACCAAGAAGGCAAAGAAGTGAACTTTTTGACTCTCATTTTTAAGGATTGGCGGATTCGTATTTAACTTTATCCATTTTTGTTTTTTTTTTCCTTTGTTATTGACACAGTTCCAAGTATTCAGACTTCTGTACTAAATATTTTCTTATAACAAAAAATTAGCTGTTTCCAGTTAATAGACTATTGAGAAATCATATAACCGTGTTTCATTTTATGTTCTGTCATACAACGATTTTGACATCCTCTTGAGATGAATGTCTCGAGTATTAGATTTCGTGCATCTATATTCCGTATTCAATTTGTCTATGTTGGCTGATTCTGATAATTGTTGACGTGGAGTCCCACTTGAACATGAGGACCAAAGGAACTTGAAGTAAGGTCCAAAGTAATAGTGTTCGGAGTAGATTTCTAGACTTGGTCCCGGATGTCAAAGGCTGATGCACATCAACCAATTATAACTTTTGGAAGAACTAGTCGTACCATCCTTGAATTGGCAGACATTGGCGATGTCAGAAGTACGGCTTAAATGAATGGTTCTTTAACACTTTGGTCTTTACAGCAACGCAGGCTTAGATGAATAGTTTCGTAACACTTTAGGAACTTGAAGTAAGGTCCAAAGTAATAGTGTTCGGAGTAGATTTCTAGACTTGGTCCCGGATGTCAAAGGCTGATGCACATCCACCAATTATAACTTTTGGAAGAACTAGTCGTACCATCCTTAAATTGGCAGACATTGGCGATGTCAGAAGTACGGCTTAAATGAATGGTTCTTTAACACTTTGGTCTTTACAGCAACGCAGGCTTAGATGAATAGTTTCGTAACACTTCGGGTCTTTATCGTTGCTAGTCGTCTTGTTGTGGCCCTTTGAACAGAATATTGGTGAAGCATAAAATGCATTCTGGTCTTGGGTACAAAAACTAATTTGCTTCTTAACTTGAACAAGCGAAATGAGAATAAAGAGTTTTTGAAAGGGAAAAATGCATAATTATCATAGCTTCAAGATACACTTTCAAATTTAAGAAAATACAATTTTGTGACCTATACGATTGTAGCCTATAATCAAATAGGAAACGGTCAAAATGACACATTTTAGATCACATTCTTGTATTCACAACACATTTAATAGGTCACAAATTACTTCACAATTGCTTACATTTCACACCGTAATCGTTGTTTCTGCCGCCTTCGATCCACAATCACTCACCATGACCCAATGCAGCACCACTTGCACCACCTCCAAATCACCACTACCACCATATGCAATCTTACAATTTTCGTTGCTAGAGCCACTGTAACAGTCCAGAGAACTTCCATACAAACCACAGAAATTGCAAAGATTCCCCCCAACAAACTCTCCAAACCCGCCACTGCTAAACCTCGAACTATACCACTTCAATAGCTACACCAAGAGAAGTTGAATGGAGTCAGCGGCAAGTGACTACGAGCATGCTATTAAAGCTTTCTTACAAACCGCTCTCAGAAAGCATTCATAACCTCAGGTGAAGCTTAGCATGTTATTGAAGCTGTCATTTAAGGTGTATGCACGGCAAAGAGATGCATAAAGAGAACTAGGAAAAGAACTGTCAAGTTCCAGTAGGAAAAGTTACGATCCAAAACTATTGACATCCCGAAACATTGTACAATTATGCATAGAGCCCCTGATAACTTAATGTCTGCAGTTGACACAAAATAAGAAGTATTAAGGAATCGTTAAACAAACAAAGATGGGAGAGAAACAGCTTAACTCAACCTTCGAATTTAGTGTAGTATGTAGCTGTTTCATGTTTAGGTATCAATCTTGAATTAATTTACATTGCAGACACAATGTGCATTACCGATACATAAGACAAGCCAAAACAGAGAATCGCAAGACTTTAAATTTCTAGCTTAAGAATTAGATAGAACGTTTTTCTCTGCAGGAAACCTACAAATAGTATCCCCATAAGAGGCTTACAGTAGGAAAAGTGTCATTTGAAGATTGCGATCTGTTGATGTGGTCGTTACGAGCAATTACCCAATTATAATATTGTCTTGGAGGTAGTACAAACCCATCGACAATCATCCACTCTGCAGGATCAAACCCTGCCTTTCCATTGATAATTTGCTAACCATAACAAGGTATATTTAGAAAAAAGAGGGGTGCATGTGCATGTAATTTTCTTCTTTCAAAACCATCCATAATGAACTGATATGAAATGCTTAAATAAATGAGTTTAGAAATAAAATTACATATTCTAAAACTGCACAAAATCATCCTTCATAATGGAATACCGTCCATGTTCATGAATGGACACAATTCAGTTGATATGATGCATAATTCAGTCTCTTGATATTGATCATTCAACATGGACAGTTGGGCCACTTCATGATCCTGCAGCAAAAAAAGTACACAACTCAAGATTTGAATTCCCTCCACCTCTCCAACTTCTGGTCCTTACTACTATAAGGGAGGCTGTAGTGAAGAAGTGAAGACAAAAAATCTCTACACTGTTTCTCGTGTCCATATATCAATAATATAGCATATGGGCACAAATAATTAGTAGACTCTCATTAGAAAGCTAGCCCCAACAAAAAGACATTGGATATAAATTAGTTCTGAGTGGAACCATAGGTAAGAGCTTCAGCGCTTTGATCACCTTATTTGGAATGTAATTGAAAAGCAATAACAGTAGAAATTCCGTTATCCAAAAATTGAAAGAAAAAGAAAAAGAGATCAAAGAATTGGCCTTGATTTTTTTCTTGACCACTGCATTTATCAAAGAAAGCTGCCTATTTTCAGTACTACAAAAAATTCTCAAAGTTCCTTCGGTCATTTACAATTTAGAAACCATGCACGTAGTCAAATACCTTTCCAACAACACAACAAAGAAGCTACTTCAGATAATAACATGACATCCAATATTCGACTATTACATACGTCAGGAACCACCAAAAAATTTAATATTCTTGACAAGAAAATTTCATAAATTTTCAGCAAAACAGACAATAAAGTATACCAATTGTGAGTGTTAAAGTAAAAAATGAGTGAGACTACATACATAGCAACAGAACCTGGAGAAAAATAAAGTTAAGAGAGTTACCTCTCAATGTGATAAATTCATTCAGATGTAGAGCAAAGCCTGAAAGACTCAGTCGTACAACTATCCAATATGACAGTAATAGCAATACTCAAATTCTCCTTTTTTCTCCCTTGACCCTTTTAGAGAAGCGTTTTTTAGGACCTAACTGAACTTCACGGAGCATTTGTGTCCACAGTTCTTCAAATTGGTTATGAAACCCTTCTTGAAACCAATCCCGAATTTCTGAAAACAATTCTGAAGGATCGTCATTCCACAACTTCTTTAGCATGGCACAACTGTCGACAATTCTTCCCCTTGTACTTAATTTATTTAACAGATTGCCAACTCGTTTAAGACCTGATGCTTCCGGCTTCAAAATGCTAGCTGGTGAGGCTGCCATGAACTTTCGGACAGCTTTTAGGCATGGCAAAACCTGTCCTTCAAGTAATGAACAAGCAAACACAGCCACCCGAATTGCGTCTTCTTTGATGGGCAAACCATGAAGAGGGAGTGGCCATAGATGAGGGCGAAAAGTTGGAGCGACCCACGAGAAAACTTGGTCAGCTACAGGGTCATAATATGGTTTCGGATCTGAAAGGGGGGCAGAAAAGATACACGATGATCGAGCGTATTTAACCAGCCAATTTGATTTCACACTTGTTGCTCCATGAATATATGGCCTTTTTGTATATAATAATTCACTGTAGACTAGAAATTCAGGTGGAGATTTAGAAACAGAAGAGCGACGATGGAGGAATACTGTTTCTTTGACCATGCAAGCTTGATATCTCGCTGCATTAACTTTTCTATCTCCTTCTGACAGCCCCCAAGCTCCTTTAATGCGTTTAGCAACCCTATCAGCCCAGCCAGCACAGATAGCCTGCCCCAAAATCTCCTCCTCATTCAGTAGAAGAGGATGTTTATCGAAAGTAACCCTCCAAGAACTTTCTACATCCTGCATAATCCCATGAGTCCAAGAGAATTCTCGTTGGAAATCACTACAATTGGAGCTAAACACTAGTTGAAGAAGCTGCTTTCTCAACTTGGACATTTCTTCCATTGTCTTGTAGTGCAATCCATTGTCAGTACAGAATTCTACCGGGTTCTCAGAGAGCTCAAAGCATTGCAGAGCATAAGCTATGGTCAAAGCATCACTGGTGGGGTTACAAAATTTAGCACGAGATAATTTAGCAGTTTCTTTAAGTTTCTTTTTCCTCAACTTTTCTTCCTCGTCTGGAATTTTCTCACTCCAATCTTGCTTCATGTCATCTGTGTCATCGTGGCTTGCTTCAAACAGCATAATGAAAGGATTTGACAAGCTCAAAGCTGCAGCTGCTGCAACAGCATAGCCCAGTACTAGATTTGCTCGGGCATAATCTTTCACCTCACGCATGATTTGAATAACCGTAAGAAGCATTCTGGAGTGGCGAGGACTCATTGGATAGCGTGCCATTGCCTTCCCTAGTGGTGTCAACCTTCCTTCATTATCAAGTGCCTCAAGAGCCTTTAGACAAAGCTCTGCTTCATCAAACGAACTGTCCTCCGGAGGGGTTGGAAATGGGAAATTCTTAACCTGAGATTGGAGTAAAATATGAAGTTTATGGAACATGTATACTGTATGAAATAGAGCAGAAGCAAATAAACAAAACAAACAGCAGAAAATGGTGCCTATATTTTCCATAGCACAGAAAAGAAAATGAAATTGAAAGACAAATAATATAAGGCAATCCAAAAAAACTTGCCTTGCCAATATGCATGGATTTCATGAGAAGAACAACACCATCAACTGGTACTTTCAATATTTCAGCACATGAGAATTCAAGAAAAATGTCATTGAAGACTGCAGAGGAATAGAGGCGATAACAATGTCCAGGCCCAGTTCTTCCAGCTCTTCCAGCACGTTGAGCAGCAGAAGCCTTACTTATCCACTGTATCTCATATGTTTCCATTCCATTAGAGGAGTCGTAATTCTTGACCTTCTCTCTTCCAGTGTCAACAACGTACTTTATCCCAGGGATAGTCAAAGAGGTTTCAGCCACATTAGTGGCAACAACTACTAGGCGCTCTCCTTCCTTGACCTCTTCAAAAACACGAAGCTGCGCTGATGCAGGAAGCATTGCATAAAGGGGCAGGATCCGCATTGGACCAGCACAAAGACACTTACCTTCCCTGTTTTGCTGTCCCAAGATGGAACTGGTTTGCTTTGAGGTTCCTTCAGGATTAACAGGAACCTCAGAAACAGGGTTAGGTGTTTTCTTGCCTGCCAATGCTTCAAAAGATGCCTTCAATGAAGCAAGGCTTCCTTCATCCCCCAAAACATCTGCAAGATTGCTATCAGACTCCAGAGATGTTGGTTTCAACACATCACCCTCATCACTGTAGAATTCAAGATCACTGTCATCCCCGGAATCATAAGACACATCAGACTCTACTTCAGATAGATCTCCATGATCCTCAGTATGAGAGCCAAAACGATTCATAATGTCATGACCAGTGTTTCCTTGAAGTTCGAATGCCTCACTAATATCCTTAATATCATTTTCTTCCAGAGGTTTTTCTTCGGAAACTAAAGACGATTCTTCATTTACTTCCAATGCACTTTTAACTATTTCCTGAGAAGCATTTCTCAGTTTCTTACACAAGTACTCCACCTCCCTCTGCCCAGTCACAAAAACAAGAATTCCTCCGGGTGGCAATCTCTTGTGAATTGATAATACTTTCTTATAGGCTTGGCCAACGTAATCTATGATCTCTGTCCTCTTGGAGAAGTGCATAGTAACTGGATACTGTCTAGTCGGGACTTCTATTACTGGTGGAGGATTATGAAATATTTTTTTGTTAGACACAAAGTCTTCAACACACAGGGTAGCACTCATCAGCACAAGTTTCAAGGGATAGATCCTCTTCTCAGAGTTAATAATTTCCCCAGCAAGAATCCTCTTTTGCTGCATCTCATATTCCCACTGTCATAAAACACGAGAAATTGAAAAGAACAGTAAACAGTAATAACCACCCAGATTTTAAACCTTTCTGATATCTTTTCAAAACATATATAACCAATAGTAAAAGGGCATGCTATAACTAAAAGAGGTTCCAGGAGATACTTGGCGCTCACGTATAACTCGAGAAAGCATCCCGATAAGTATATCCGTATTCAGGCTCCTCTCATGAGCTTCATCCAAAATTATGATGGAGTAGCGTCTCAACCAAAAATCATTCTGCAAAAAGAAAACTAACAGTTAGCAAACAAAATCGGTCATGGCAAATAGAGGCAAAGAATCCCAGGAAAGAAATTATTACAACTAGAGTACAGAAAAGTGAGCAGCAAAATATATCTGCGAAACAGTCCCAGCAGGAAATCAGAACAACTAAATGGAGGAATAAACCAATAAGAATAAAAATAAAATAGCAGCTATCAAATTATCGCTTTTTAATTCCAACTCGACAAAGAAGTTCAAAAATTCTCCATTCTCAAGAATGTAGAGTTATAATGGGTACGAAACCAATAGAGGGAAAGAGAAGAAAGTTTTAAAACCAATATTAGATTGTAGCTCCTCTTCAGCATAGCATATCACAGCTTGTTATTTTCAATGCCCATGCCTAATGTGCTAAGGAATGCAATGGCAAATAGTTGGTGGATAATATAGAAGCAACCGGTGTGATAACGCTGTTGTGATTCTGAGAGCTTGTTAACAGCTTTATCATTACGTTACACAGAATTGCCGGAAACTTTTTCCCAAAGAAAAGATGCTAACAATAAAGAAACATTTTTTTCCCAAACAAGGTCATTCACATGTGCAGCAGAAGAGGCAAAGAATGAAGGCAAAACCTGAACTTCTCGAAGCAAGATTCCGTCAGTCATAAACTTGATGGAGCAATTCTCTCCAATCCTTCTGTCATGCCTAACTTGAAAGCCTACCTCCTTACCCAAACGAAGACCAAGCTCATACGCCACTCGCTTGGCTGTTGCAAGTACAGCGACTCGTCGGGGTTGGGTCACACCAATAACACCGCCTCGAACATCACAAAGGCTTGAACCAAAGCCAGTCTCGTAAAGGAACTGAAATATGATAATAAAATGCAAGAATAAGACTTTGCTCCAAACAGAATGTTGTGTGAAAGAGAGAAGAAACATAAAGAAAAATAGCTAACCTGGGGGACCTGTGTGGTCTTACCACAACCAGTCTCACCACATATGATAACACTATTATTCTCATTAATAGCTTCCATTATTTCCTGTTCCATCATTACTATTGGAAGATTCCTTCTGTTGCTCTCGACCTCCTTTGATCTTGATACGTGCACTACAGTTGGGGCACTAGTAGTTCTCAGTGGAGTACGGATCCCCTGGTTCATTATATTGCTGAGATTTACATTTGGACTTCCATCCACTGGAGCCTGTTCCAAGTGCTCAGCATGAGTTGCTTAAAATATTTTATAGGCAGACACAGTTATCTTAAAACGCGTTAATTAGAATGAAGTTGTCAGAGTATAAACTCTTTTGAGATTCAAAATAAAATATTGTCAAAAGAACTGATTGATCAAAAAAATTCACCATACAGTATGGGAGTATACCAATGACACTGCTGGTTCTTCACTAGGAGGAAATGTACATTTGGAATTTTCTGGCTGTTCTGGTATTAATGACTTATTAGTTTCACTATTTACATCCTCGCCAGTCAAAGCAGCATCTTCGCCAAGAGTAGCAGGTTCATTCCTAGAAACTAGTTCTTCAGAAGATTTTAGTGGGGCAGGCATGTGATTCTGGAGCTCTCTTTCTGATAAAAATGGTTGCGGAGAATTGTTATCATTGTTTACTTTTGACTTGTTATCGTCTGGATGCAATTCAACATCACCAGACGCATCATCACTGGTCCTTTTCTTGAAAGGTCGATAATCATCCAATTCTAAACCTGCTCTAGCAAACTGCATTTGCCTCCTACGTTTTTCGCGGACAGTTTCAACCTATCAATATTAAGCCACTTCATAAATTATGGTATAGGAATTCCTTTTTGTTTTTAAACAACAATATTGATCATCATGACGGTGACACAAACCTGACCCAAGTTCCGTGAAGACCACATAAGAGAATGCACATCATCTTGAATCTTGTATTTCCTGAATGTAAATAATCCAAATCCCATTATCAAGACTAAAATGAAGTTAAACACACACACAAGAATCCATGAAAGACAACATTAGCGGCATTCATACTCCAATTCCTCGATGCTTTTTGACAAAAGTATCTCCTTTTCCTTCTCCTCCTACACGTTAGAAAATTATATCATTAAACCTTCAAAGCCCAGATAGGGAGAAATCGTTTGCAATATGCATAGAGACACCAAGTAAAATATTTACACACCTCGAGTTTCTTTAACTTTCTTTTCTGGGATTTGCTCAACTTAGGCTCATTATTTATCCTGAGCTTTTCGGACACCTAATAATCAATTAACAGATATTAAATTGTCAGATTAAATATAATCCAATTGAGAAAGTAATTCAGGGAGAAAATATTTATCAATTTAGTATGCATATACCTGCTTATTTTTGTTCTTTTTATTCTTTTTCTTGCCTGGCAACATGATTGCATTGCTGCCATTATCTTCCAAACTATCATAAATTGCAAATTCACAGAGACCCAACCGCCATAATTAACCATAGAGACAACTACAACGAAGTTTGTCCTTGAGAATTTCAATTTCAATTATTTACCTCAATAACCCTGTTCCATCGTTCAAGTCAGTTGAAGAGTCCATTTTTACGTGCTCCATCTAGTCTAGAAAAGGAATGAAGTGCCGGTCCAGTGACTGTCAAGGCCTGAGACGAAGTCCGTAAATTAGGCCCCCTGACGTAAATGCAAAATTCAACAATGTATCATGCGACCCATTGCTAAATTAGGAAAAACAATAAAACAATTATATAAGCCAACAAGGCTTCAAACATTTTCAATCTTTTTAATAACAAATTAGGACAAGTCATTGCTTACCTAAGAACTAGAATTTCAACGAAAACGGTGGAGTTACACCCTCGAGAATTCCACCGTCACAACTCACGAGCTTGAAACAAAAATTTAACATCAATCACTAATACAAATATGAACATGATCATCAAACTTAGGGAAATAACAATTGCACAAGCACACATTTAATTAAACTTAGGGAAATAACACATTTAATAAGAACTAATCACCAATTCACCATTTAAACAGTGTCATCAACAAAATAAATTAATTCAAATTAGTATACTAGTTGTAAATACTGAAGTTATCTTTTCTTGAGCTCATTGACATAATAATATCTCAAGTTCTCAAACATGTATTCTCACACCTTATCTATCAAACTATGTCATTGAAATTAACTATAAACTATTTTACACATTACTTGAGATCTGAGAGTTGTTCATTCCAAACTTGTACAATAAATTATATATTGATCAATTGATCAATAATCATTAAATATATTATATTTGTAGCATTTTTAGGTCCTTGACAACTCGACTACATCCTAGATAAGTAGTTAACAATTAACTCATTAACACGGAACTGCAGAAGCTTCTCTGAGCTCTCTCCAATCAGAGTATACCCCACGGCCCACATAGAATAGAAAAGACCATTTATTAATTAAAATCAAGCCATCAAAATTATAATAAGTAAATGGTAAAAGAGTTGAATACTACAGGCAAACAGCAATCATGTAGATGTAATCAAATAAAAAACTCAAACGGAATTAATAATGTAATAGATACTATACTAATAGAGTAAAAGGCTAATAGGCACAGCCAACTGCCGTATGCCAAGAGGGGCATACTGCTGAAGCTGGAAGTCGAAACCTACATTGGGATTTGGGAGTTTAGCTATCTGGGTAGTGGGACTCTAGCTCCAGCGAAGCCAACTAGCCAAGCCGCGAAGAGGAAATATGGGATTCTGGAAGGAGAAGTCGAGAGAGACGGAGATGAGCGTTTGGGGAGATTTCAATTTGGGATTTGGGAATTTTGGGTAAATAGACAATGGATTATGGATTTATAAGTTGGGTCGTCCATTTCGGTAAATGGATTAAGGATAAGGGAATTGGATTTGGGCTTGAGAGTTTGGGTTGCCATTGTTCAAATAAAAAAAGGGCGGACATTCTCCATTCCCAATCTTCACATACACACCACACAAATTAGCACCGGAAATAAATGACAGACATTCTCCATTCCCCACCACCAATGGCTTCACCTTTCAATACCTTAGTTACACTTTCAACTCTATATTGTATTTGTGGGACATAGCAGTTGCAGAAAATGACATTCTACCCAGGCCCAGCACAGTACCCAGAATTGAAGAAATTCTTCAATGCAAAAAGAGAAGAAGGAATACATAGAAATCTGATTTTAATTTTTATACCGGCAGGCAGTGGTGTGGCGCGGCAGACGGCTGAGACTTGAGAGAGAAGAAAGAAGACGGCGTCGCCAAGCAGTCAAGGTACGGGTGGGTAGGTTTTACTTTTGCCTTTCTCTGGATTGTGGTTCTTCGCCTCTCTCGCAAACCGGGACAAAGGGCAGGTAATGGGAGGACGAGAAAGAATTAGGAAGGCCTCACCTGCCTCGACCCAAAACCGCCTCTGGAATGAAACGAGTCCTGTAACAAAAATTACGTTATATTTTAGTCTCAAATTTTAAAGCAGTCAAGGTACGGGTGGGTAGGTTTTACTTTTGCCTTTCTCTGGATTGTGGTTCTTCGCCTCTCTCGCAAACCGGGACAATGGGCAGGTAATGGGAGGACGAGAAAGAATTAGGAAGGCCTCACCTGCCTCGACCCAAAACCGCCTCTGGAATGAAACGAGTCCTGTAACAAAAATTACGTTATATTTTAGTATCAAAATTTGAACAAATTCAAAGGTGTAAAAGGGCAACAAATTCTAGAACAGGTTTTAGTTATTAAAAAATTTCATATTCACCAAAAAAAAAAAAAAGGATTTTTCAGAAGACAAGCTGAGATTGGAGGCGACGGTGGCATATGAACGATACTGGACAATCCTCACGAGGACTCCTTTTAGAGTTTTTAGTTTGCTGACCGACCGCTCCGACACAAATTTACCTATTAACTTTTGGAAGATGGAAGCAAAACCTTCAATATTAGAATTTGCCAAATTGGGCTTTATTCTCTGCCCAGGTTAAATTTTGGGCCAAATTAGGGGCAATGACAATGAGCCCAATATGGAGAATACCCATAAAGTAGCTCGAGGAGAAGAGTGTCAATGAAAACGAGTGATGAGAAGCATAACGAGAACATTGTAGTCCATTGAACTTATCAAGTCTATGTGTTGATTCAATTAAAAAAATTGATTAAAATTCAAATCAAAATAAACAATGAATTCATTATGATGACTCAAGAGTTCTAATATCCGAACTCGACCTTGGTGGCCCGACCTCACCTCCTCATTCATTGCCCACCTATGAGGTTGGACCTCATGTTTGTGTCGGCTCTCGGTACTTGTATTGGGCCGTGTGTCCAACGTAAATTCCAGGTAAGTAACATCCTATTCTAACTGCAATTCGTGAGGATTCTTATCCTAACCGTTTAACTTACTCTCACTTTGATTCAAACTCAAATGAAATACTTTGAATAAAACTTAAATATCTTGTCCAATGAGAAAAAAGACTACAAGTAGCCGAATTACTCTATAACTCTACCACCAACACCTATAAATACAGGGTCAATGCTCAATATTCAGATACGCTTTTCATTATTTCTAATTCATTACCTTACCCCCATTAAGTTCTCTGTATAACTTAAGCATTGGAGGGATAACGAGAACATATTTCGTTGCCTTTGTTTTTGGTATTAGAAGGTCATGTTCATTCACAACCTTCAAAACTCGACGTTCCAACCTTCAATTCGAGATCCATTAGATACAATTTTTGGTAACATCACATTACATATACTTTTATCAAAATCTATTAAAAATCTAATTTTGATTTAAATAGGGAGTACGCTATTTTGTTATTTTCACTGTGTCATGTTCAATGTTCACTCCAAATATTTGCACTTACTGCTTTATTTCTTTTTCGAAGCAATATGTGTACTCAAAAGCGCGTGGTAAGTAGATTAAAAAATTAGTTGGTATACTAATGCACTGTTTTGATGGTTTTCCATTCAACTTCTTTTTTCTTTTTTCTTTTTTATTATAAACAGATATTTAAGTAGATTAAAAAATTAGTTGGCATGCTAGTGTACTGTTTTGATGGTTTGCCATTCAATTTTTTTGTTTTTCTAAATAAATATTTCAATTATAATATTTAAACTCAATTGACAAAATCAAAGAATTCCATTTTAGTAATAGATTGGTTAAGATATTCAAGTCAATTAATTTTTATATAAATAAGTTTCATAAAATAAAAATCTGACTTAGCTGTGAGTTTACTCAATCATCCAGAAAGAGAACCTTTTCATGACAAAATAGGCTAATATAGCGTTCCCCTAAATTTTTGTTATACCAAAAAAAATGTAAAATTTAAAGCTTCGAGACAACGTTAAAAAGTAGTTTCCAATTGCAACTATAATTTGACAATGTACTTCGGTTACAAAATTGAGGGAGGTTTTCGTGCTGTTACACCAACAAAGCCAAAGCCAAACAAAAAGAATTGCTCAGAATATTTGTTTATCCTATGCAACTTTATTTAGGATTAATTTCTTGAAACTAAAAAGTTAACCAAATCTGATTCGATTAGTCGGAGGGACCAATCATACTCTCTGGGACAACAAGCTTATCAAATTCTTCAGAAGTGAGCACTCCAAGTTTCAAAGCAGCTTCCTGTACAATCAGAATTTTTTGTCAATTTTGTATGCACAAATGAATTTTCAGATTTACAGTGTTGTTTAATCTATTTAAAAAACATGGCATTGACGCAGATAGACGATGAATGAAATTCATCGTGATGCAGGGATAAAGCAGTTAGCAACGGACCGTAGAGTGTTTGAAAAAAAATTCATATAGTCGAACTGCTTACTTTTGGTATTTTTGTTGCATCAGCTATAATCGAGCATGTTTAGCTAAGCTTAAAAGGTTTACTTCCAAATAAGTTTCGGTATAAGCAAGTTTGTTTTTTATTGATCAATTGAAAATAAGTTATTTATTTTGATAGTAAGGCAAGCATCACTTCTGCTTAATAAGAAAAAAGTAACTTGTTGAAATGTGTTTGGAAATAAAGAGTTGTTTTTAAGTTAAGCTACTCATAAAAGAGGCATGATCCAAACAGTGCAGCGTGCAACTATAAGAAGAGGTCTAAACAACCAAAGAAGGATAGGAGACTCCACTAATAGGAGGTTGAATCTCACCCTCAAAGTACAACCCTCCTTGTGGGCGGTCTTGGCAACTGATGCAGCATTGTCATAGCCAATTTTCTGGAACAACAGAAGCATTAACTTAAAATAAGTACAGTCCAGTTACGGGAAGATATACAGCTAGAGAATGCATAACAAAACCTTACCGGGTTTAGAGATGTGACAAGCATGAGTGACTGCAAGATTATACAAAACGACGTAATATCAATCATCTCAGGGTGTTTCAACGGGTAAATGAAAGGATATTTCACATTCCATATTGACTAACCTCATGTAATAGTTTAGATATTCTTTCTTTATTAGCTTGAATTCCCCTCACACAATTCTTCTCGAAAGAAGCTGATGCATCCCCAATCAATCTCAATGACTGTGATCAGCAAAATGAAAAATTACTGATTGAAAGTGGTTCCCTTGGAGCAAAAAATCATATGAACACCCAGAGAGAGTGGGAATTTCATAGTGCCATAGCAAAATGTTTTTCAATATGAAAAAAGTTAACTATGAGCAATATCTGAACTATATCATGCTGAAGCAATAACGTTCAGTAGAAAAAGACCCAAGTCAAGGGCAAAGGTGTGGAGGTTAAAAGACATTACACCAAGCAATAAGTGCCCTCCAAATTTATCAAATCTTTAGTGCATAGTCAACATAGTTCCAATAATAGAATCAGGTTCCAGATTGAACCATATAAACCACAAATTTTACCATCCAAATGTTATCTGTAGTTCATGCAGAAGAATTCACTAGGGTGACTATCAGAAAGAACCTTTAAGATCAAAACTGCACTCTCTACTCTGAAATGTTAATGCAAAAATAAATGCTGGAACATACATGTAAAAGATTGCTGGCAATCATAGGTTTAAATACATTCAGCTCAAAATGGCCATTTGATCCCCCCACAGTAACAGCTACATGATTTCCCATAACCTGGAAGGCGAGAAGATAATTCATTAAATTGACATAGTTACTAAGAAGACTGTAAAAATATCCAATAGAATTTGTGAATGACTTGTCAATATTTATCCTAGCTGCTATTACCTGAGCACAGACCATTGTGAGAGCCTCACACTGCGTAGGGTTCACCTTTCCCTGAATCAACGGGGTCACATAGACAAGATTATTTGAGAAAACTTGCAGTTAGTTTTAGTCATAATTTGCTGTACAAATTTTTTTCGAATAAATGAAATCTACAACTAGATTACCGGCATGATACTGCTGCCAGGTTCATTTTCAGGAAGAATGAGTTCTCCTAGACCGCACCGTGGACCACTGGATAAAGATGACAATGTGAGAACACCCAGAATGACGGGAGAAAACAGTGAGCAATATGTCTAAATAACCAAACCTTCCTAAGAAACGTATGTCATTTGCCACCTTCATGAGAGAGGCAGCAATTGTGTTCAAGGCTCCACTGGTTTCAACAAATGCATCATGTGCAGCCTATCATTATCAGAAAACACAAAAAGAAATTTTTTTTATTGTAATTAAGTTTTACATATAATTTATTTCCAAAGGTTGGGCAGAGACTTGTAAGTAAAAACAGAAGAAAAGCTTCAGGAATGATGAGACTACCAGTGCTTCAAATTTATTTTCAGCTGTTACAAATGGTAAATTAGTCTCCTCTGCTACTGCTGCAGCAATCTTTACATCAAACCTGAAAAAGTCAGTTGTCTACATAAGAAATACAAGTGTAATACTACACAGTCAAAATTTTTTAACACGAAGAGGAAACAGTAACAAGGATTTCTCGCAAAAAATCCACATGTAGTGACTTGTAACATGCAATAAATTTAATTTACAACTAAAATACTGCAATGCTTACCCTTTCTTTGTGTTTAATCCGGTCCCAACAGCAGTGCCACCTTGAGCAAGCTGCTCATAAAATATATCTAACCTCTCAGAACAGTAGGCAGAAAGGAAAAAGAAGGTTGATATTAGGAGGAGAAGGATGTATTGAAAAGAGGGAAACCTGATACATGCGAGGAAGGGTACACGAGACACGATCAATTCCATATTTCACCTGAAACATTAGAAATATTTATGTAACCATCAAATGTAATCATTCTAGCAACCTTCACAAATCCACTGAAACTTCATTTTACAATGACAACAAATCTTGTAAAGGTATGGGGAAAAAATCTTACTTGTGTAGTGTAGCCACTAAATTCTTGTCCAAGGGTCAAAGGTGTTGCATCTTGAGTGTGTGTACGACCAATTTTAACAATATCTTTGAATTCAACTGACTGGAAAAAAATATGAAACAGACTAAGTGATAAATGCAGTACTGATTAACATAGAAATGGTAAACATAACAACCACAACAATGGCAATACCAAATAGTGTATGTTTATGAAAGAACATTGAGACAACTACATAATAAATTATACCCTATGGAAGAACATCGAGACAAATACATAATAAACTATACATTTCTATAAAAACTAGATTTAATAAACAGATTAAAAAAAATGAATAACAAGCTCCATCCAACATTAATAGTGT